AGATGGACTTCAAAATGAGCTACATGGCTGAGGAATGGAGCCTCAAGATGCCCAAGGGACTGGACTTGGAAGTTTCCCATCATCCAGTGACAATGAAGAGTGTGGTCAACCTCATCATTGCCATGGAGAGGTTAAAGACCAGCAATTCAGAGCCAGTGCTGAGCACAGACTTCCAGGATGAAAACCTGCTTTCCATCATGCTGGAGAGCATTGTGGAAGGTAATCACAAGTTTTAATACTGGAAAAACTCAGAATGAGCCATTATCTCTTCTATAAAATATGAATTAGGTTTAGCTATTTTGAATTCTCTTTAGATTAATACACAAATAATGTATCTTTCCATTTTACCATCCTAGTCACAAGTAGACAGAAATCTAGTTTAACACCATATTCAACCATGCATGTCTGTTTTTGTCCCAGAGCATAGTGTGATCGAGAGGAAAGGTGCACCACCTCAGTTCACCAGCAGGGATGAGATTGAGTGCACTGTGACTGACAGCCAAAAGAGGAGCTTGGTTCTGGTCGAAAGCAGCATGGAGCTCCATGCAGTGATGCTGCAAGGAGGCAGTGATGACCGCAAAGGTAACTACATGTGACACTTAGACGTTTAAATAGTTGAAAATCATTCTCAGTGCAGAATCAGTGTTTTACATCATCCATGTTGTTAGAAACATGAGGCAGAAAAGAACTAGGTAACTTGAATTTATTAAATTGATTCAATTGTGCCTCTAACATTTTCCTGCTTACGTACGCTGCCATGATTTATTAAAATGACCCTGTATCCATCACTCTCTCCACAGTGCACCTGAACATGTCGACCTACGCGCACCCTACACCCATCGCTGAGACCAGGCCTGTCGCTCTGGGCATCAAAGGCACAAACCTCTATCTGTCTTGTCACGAGGATGACGACAAGCCAACCCTCCACCTGGAGGTAAACTTCTTTCAGGAATCTCACATGAAAAGCAAACCATTTGTTATAATCTATAAGACACTGCACACATGTAGATGAATTAATATTTGATATCAGGCCTAATTTTGTTGACTGAAACTCTCTGACATGGATGTTTGCTCTCCTCAGGAGGTGACGGATAAAAACAGTCTGTCAAGGATAAGCGCTGAAAGCGACATGGTGCGATTTCTCTTCTATAAACGCGACACTGGGCTCAGCATCAGCTCTCTCATGTCTGTCCGCTGCCCCAACTGGTACATCAGCACAGCGCAGGACGACGACCAGGTGGTGGAAGTGTGTCAGGAGACCGCCCCACGCTACAGAAGCTTCAACATCCAGCGCCAGAGTTAAAACCCATTAAGGATTCCCAAGATGAATTTTGGAGCTCTATTTGCACTCCAGTTTGACCTTCTTACAGTATGTGCTAAGTACATAAATTGGAATGATTAATGATGTAAAGTTACATCACAAGGTAGCATCATTGTGCTCTCTGAGCATCTGG